CCCCAAAACCCCAAAACCCCAAAACCCCAAAACCCCTATTTCAATTTTTAATATTGAAATTGCTTGAGGAATTAAACTGGCCTTTTTTGAGAAAAAGCAGTGTAGGCATTTCTGGCTGAGTTTTGCCCGCTTTTGACTTGAGTGTCTCTCTTACTCTTGATTTTAATGCTCAGACCCTACAAGTTAAACCTAAGAAAAACCTTTTTGTTCCTTCTTGCCTTGAATGCAGTTGATGGCTTTGCTAGAGTCTCTTTTATGGAGGATCTACTTGAATATATTTCTCTTGAAGTCGGCTTTTTCAGATTAACTTTAATGTTGGAGCTTAAGGATATGTAATCACTAGAAATGAGAGGAAAGTTACATTATCTTCTCAGAAGGTGGCTTTCTGAGATTTCTTTTGATTAAACTGGCTTCCTTGCTAATTTTAGAAGCCTTTGGTATGCACAAGATACCTGAATTATTTCTTCTCATTATTTGAGGAAGCTCTGGAAAGTTTGTTTTAGATGTATTAGTGAGAGTTGGAACAAAGAGAGCATTTGATTTTATCTTTCCTTTTGGTAATCATTTTGGAATCCTTGGCTTTGAACGGTTTAATAGAATTCTAGCTGTTGAGCATTTGTTAAGAGTTTTAATTTCTGGATTTGACTCTGCTTCAGAGTCTAGAGTACCTCTTAAAGAGCCTTTAGAGAATGCTCTTTGGTTCTCTTGGTGGATTCTTGGGGTAAAACCATCTTTGCCAAATGTTTTATTTCTAGTTCCAGATATATCTCTCTTGTTTACTGAAACTTTTGGTACAAATTTACGGGTGCTGGAGTCTAGAAATAATGTAATATGTTACACTTGAGGTTAAGTGGTTCTTTGTGAAGCATCTCCATCCCTGTTCTTTCTGGAGAGATCTTTTTCGTGCTCATTTCATCAACAGAATTATTCTCAAGGGAATACATTTGATTATCAAGTTGTTTGAGTTTTTCTTGAAGAGTTTTGTCATTAAGGCTATCTAAGAGATCACAGTGATACCTTTACCTATTTTAATTTCGTCTTTGTAGAGTGCCAGAGTCTTGTTAAACATCATTGCATCTGATATATCTTTAATATAGCTGTATCACTGGTCGCACAGTAAAATACTCTTGTACAACCAGTTAGGGTCGTTCAGCTTATTTTGGTACGTCTTATAAGCCATTTTTGGGCAAATAGCTTTTATTATTCTGGGAACTTCAGATTTCTGATGTTGGGATTTGAGAGGCTCCTGTTGCACTTCTGCAAATTAACAGTGAAATTTACCGTTGTCTTCAGCTTCACTTTCGGTTTGGGTTTCAATTATTTTATGTAAATATTTGTTAACTCAGCTTTTGTATTCGAAAATTTGATGAATTGGTTCAGCTACGGTTTTACCTTCATCGAGTGAACTGCTCTTAGGTAATGAGATGTAGTATTGGTATACGTTTAAGATGAATTTTAGGGTGAATTCATAGGACCCTGTTTTTGTGATGAATTTATTTACAGAAAGGGCATTGCATTTGTGTGCTTATGCCTTTCTTTATTTCTGAATGGGTTGTCGAGTTGTTCTTTCCCTCTTCTTCATTGGTTCTTCTCGAGAGAAGGTCCTGGAGAGCGGCATCTGGTATGGTCAAAGTGATATCTTTGAAGCCCGTTCATACTCTGATGAATGGCTCAACCTTAAAATTGTTAGCAAAAATTAAGACAAGTTCATCATTCTCATCAAGTTTGAAATAAAAATTAGCATGTTTTAGTGAAGCTCCATGAGATGAAAGTTGGTCAGCTATGAATTTACAGGCCACATTGATATCAGTTAAAAGAATTTTGGAGACAACACTTTCTGATTTAGACATTTCTGTTGGGCCTTCGTAAGTGACTACTTTCTCGTAAGGAGATCAGTTGGTCTTATTAAAAAGTATAGCGTTGGATCTTTTCTCTACTATGTTAATTGTTGGAGTCCAATCACAACGAATGACTTCGTTGTATTTTCCTTTTCAAACAGGAAATTTTTGTAGGATCTCTAAGTGGAGCTTGTCTTCATTGAAATACACAAAATCGTTGAATTCCTTTTTATGGAGATATTCCAGAGTTACGGTAGAGGCTAGTTTTGCAGTACCAATTCTATAGGCTGTAGCTACAACATCGTTGGTTAACTTTTTGGTAAAAGTATCATAGACATATTCATGAGTAAGCTTGGCCTTGGTCTTCTTTAGAATAAAACCTTCTTTTGAGGTGAAGTACCAGGCATATGGCCTTCAAATTTTGTAAATGACAGTGTCAGGGATTTTAAAGTTGTATTTAATCACTGGCTTTCCAACTTCTTTGTGCCAGAGATAGTGCAGGAGCCACTCCATTTCACTAGATATCATTGCATCGCATATTGAATGAGATTCAGTTTGAACTTTGTACTTATTTTGGATCTATATTTATATGTTTCTTAGAAGAGGAATTTGAAGAGCTCATTGGGAAAAATTTAAACCAGAGTTAATAAGTAGTCATTTTTATGAGCTTATTCTTACCGAAGATGGACTGTGAGTATCTTCCAGATGAGGTTTCATTTTGAAATAAGAATTTAATTCAATTTTTAAGTTTATGAATGGGGTTTTGGGGTTTTGGGGTTTTGGGGTTTTGGGG